GAAAAAAAACTTAAAAAAAATGGGGTTATAGAAGGTCAGCAAAGGGTGGGTTTGAGATGTTTGGGTGGGTTAAGTGGGCATTTTGGACAACATGGCTTCTCCTTTGGCATGTTTGTGATGTTTAACGGTCATCCTTGCAGTTTAAGATGACACTTTTAAAATAAAATTCTCTCCTAATGATGACTTGAGCCCTGCCACTCAATGAGAGAATCAGCAGAACCTGTAGGATCTTATTTGGAATTGACATTTTCTGTTGTAATTTTGTTCCTCTTTATTTTTAAATTTTCTTTTTGTTTCACTGGAAAGAAAAGATGATGCTCAGTTTTAAACGTTAAAAGTGTACAAGTTGCTTTGTTACAATAAAACGGAATGTGTAAAAAAAAATAACTCCTCAAAAAAGTGAAACGTCGGGGAGCTCTGGTGGCCTAGTGGCAAGGAGCTGCAACTACAATCCCAGAGGCGCACGGTTTGAATCCACCAGATGCTCTGCCGGGGAAGGAGGTACAATCTCCTCCTGCACCAGTCAGATCTGATTTGACGGTACATGCACACACACACACACACACACACACACACAAAGTGAAACGTCGTAATGATTGAGGTATTTGTTATCATGGAGATTTAAAAATTTTTTGTGATCCCAGAAATATATTCTTTTCCCTCTAGTAGACATTGTACACTTTTCTTCTTTTGTTTTAAAAACCAAATTCATCACAAAAATAACTCCAGGGAATTCAGTTGTGTTTCACCAGAAAATTTTCTTTATGGTGGTGGTTGATCAGTTTTATCTTGTAGAAAATCTACAGTGAATTACAGATCTAAAAGCAAAAAAAAAAAAAAAAGAAAAGCTTTGTAATTAAATTTATGCCTTTATTTATGGAAATTCACTTTTATAGGTTTTGAAAAAGTCATGTGAGAGGAAACGGCTGTGGACATAATTTGACAAATAATATGTATGTCTTTTATAGGCTAAGTGATGAAGATTATATAAAACCAAGCTTAGAGCAATTTGTTGTAGTAGTTTCAGATTTCACCAGGAAGACTTTTGAAGTCTGTAAAATAACTTTTTTTTTTTTTTAAAGTCTGATGATTGTGATGGATTGGAAATTGAGAGAATAAAACGAGAAATAATTCAGTTGCGTAATAGCGTCTTTCAGGAAATTTATCATGAGCAGGAAGAGTATGTAAGTATTTGATTCTTTGAAGTCTTTTAAAAATAATCTTGAAGTTAATTTTTATACAGAGAACAGATGTTACTTCATGAGAAAAGTAAGTATTATAGAGAAATACATACACTATGATTTTTTAAAAAGTTTTTTTTATTGGCATGCAATAATTAATATACATTGTGTTTTGCTCATGTACATTGTGTTGTGTGGTCTGTTCCACAGTCAGCACCAGGCCTTGTTTTCACAGCTGATACTGAGCTTCTCCAGTGATTCTTTCCACAGATGTAATCGATCTGATTCCTGTGCATACCATCAGGTGGAATCCATGTGTATAGTCCTCGTTTATGTTTCTTATAAAACATATTTGCAATGAATAAGTCAGTTGTGCAGAATTTTATCATTTTATCCCCAGCTTCATTTCTTTCACCAAGTCCATGTTTTCCAACTACTGATCCTTCTCTGTTCCCAACTTTTGCATTCCAGTCACCCATTATTAACGCATCTTGATTGCATTTTTCGATATTTTTGGAGACTTAATGGAGACATTATTTTTGTCTTTATAAATAATGTTATTTGGTGCAATGAACACCCATATACAGATAATTGGGAGAAACTTTACATTCTGCATTTTCCCATTTGACATAGAGCCATATTTGGAATTTGTCTCAATATGACTTTTCTAGTTTGCATGGATGACTGGCTATGTGGAAGGGCAGGACTATGAAATTGAGGCATGTTGTCTTATTTATCTTCAAAGGGATTGGCTCTTTGCCATTTGGATTGGCCAGTCTCAAACAGTCTACATGAGGATTGGCTAGTCTCGCCAATAAATTGAACTGACGTTGTTAGACAGTTACAGCTTGCTTGGCTCCACAATCAACACTCTTAGCACCAGCAGTCAGGAAATCAAAAGATGATTTGCATTGGAAAAAATAATGCTGTCAGGGACCTTTCTCCAGAATGCTGAAAAGCAACAATGTCAGTCTAGAGACCAAGGAGTGCCTAATCCAGGCCATGGTCTTTGTAATTACTTGTTATGCTTCAAAGAGCTGGACAGTTACCAAGGATGACATAAGACGAATAGATGTCTTCAATTTGTGGTACTGCAGAAGAGTATTGAGCATACCATGGACTGCCAAGAAAACAAATAGGTCTGTCTTAGAGAGGGTGAAACCAAGTTTGTCCTTGGAGTCTAGGATTTTGAGGCTCCATCTCACATACTTTGGGCACGTGGCCAGAAGAGACTGGTCCTTGGAGAAGAATATCACGCTCAGAAGGGTGGAGGGACAGAGTAGG